ATCCATTGGGGGTTCTCTCCATCTCTCTCCTCTCCCTCTTCCTCTCCGTCTCTCTCCCTCTCTATGTGGTTATGGAGCCTTTCTTTAGGTTGTCTCCATGAAGGAAAATTTGGGCTTCCTCAGCATGTCTGCCTCTGGACAGTGAGGCTATTTACATAGTGACTGAAGATACCAGGGTGAAGAAACGATTTCAGTGAGGTAGAAAGTGAGTCACTTTTTACAACTTGCCATCAGAAGTCATGGGATGTCACTTCCATCACATCCACTTGGTTGAAATGGTAAGAAATGGTCAGCCCTCTCAAATCCAGGAGTAGGGAATTGACTTCATTTTTTATGTGATGGAGATGAAGGTACTGTTCCAGTCATCTTTGGACAATATAATTTGTTACATCATCCCTCAGTCCCTCCTCCCAGTTTCTTTTCTGTGACTGTTACAAAGTGTTTTCATTTCATTTCCACAGCTCTTTTTATCTTCATAATGCCCTCTTCAACATCAGGTTCAAATAACTTTCAATATGGGTTAAGGATGATGATAGAGATGAATCTCCACTTGAATTTATCTTCTTTCTTCTCCATTGCTATTCAGCCTCTCTTCCTGAAGCAAACCCTAGTTATGCCACACATGGGCAGAGTGGATAGCATACAGTAGGTGCTCTTGAAATACAGAATTTTTCTGAAAAATTTTGAGCTTCCTATCTTATCTTCCGAGTTAGTTACACTGCTTTTGGTCTGGCATTGAAGGACTTCCATAGTATTTATTAATTTTTTGATAAATATTTATTAAACACTCACTCAATTGGACACTGTGCTAGTGATAAAATGGAGACCAAGTTGAACAAATTTCCAACCATGATGGTGCTTTTAGATGGTGGAGTTGGGGAGGGAGGGTAAGCATTGATTCAAAAAGCATATAATGTTTTGGGCATGCAACTGTTCACCAGATATGGTCCTAATCCATTCTTGGTGGGAAGACATTAATCATTATAACATTAGTATGTCTACACTGTGTCTTATTTGACACAGTAAATTTATTTTCCTGTTGTTTTTCCTCTTGAAATACATGCTCTGAATAAACTGGACTGTAAATTGTTTCCCCTTTGTATCCAGAAAATTTCCATTTCTATATTTCAGTTTATGTTGCTCTCTTTGTCTTGAATTCTCCTTATTTCACTCCATACTTTAAAATCTACCTCAAATCTTATAGACTATAAATAATATCTTACTCTACTCTCCAACTTGTAGGGAACAGGGAAAGGGAATGTTACCAGAACCCTGCAGTGAGTCCTGGCCTTCTGTGAGCCATGACAACATAAGGCGAATTAATGAATAAAGACAGGAAGCAAGACTTAGAGAAAGGGCTGAGTTTGGGCCTGATCAATGCTGCTCTGGGCAGCAAAGATGAAGGCACCCTGAGCTTGCCATTCTTTATTGGATTCATAGGGAGTAACAGATGACTCAGAAGGTGGCAATAATCCTAGGATGAGAAACTTACACTGATGAAGATCCTAGGTCCATGAGAAACTTATGATGATTAGGAATTTGTCCCTCCCCTGGTGAAACCTTTCTCTTACTACTCAGTTCTCAAGGAACCAGGATGTCTTCAGCTGATGTAATCCTTCCCTGGAGTGTCACAGCATCATAGGACCACTGAGGTTTTAATTGTGACCAGAGGCAAAAATGGAGTTATGTCTCAACATGCCATAGCTGGCCTGTAGGCAGGAAAACTAGGCCTAAGCATAATTTAACTGTGAAATGATTTTCCCCCCAAGCTATGTAGAATTGCTCCCAACACCAAATGAGTATGAACTCTCCCTTCTTTATACCTTCACTGCACATACTGTTTGTATGTTACACAGGCCATTTCTGCTATGTTCTACTTTGTATGCCAGATAATAACTTAGACGTCTGGGCTTCTCTGCTGGATGATCGGACCCTGAAGGCAAGGACTGTGTCCTATAGATCTTCACTGGTCTTGTGCATATACTTATGATGGAAACTCAGTATTTATCTACAGTGATGTAACTGAAAAGTCAATGGATGGTTCAGTGTCATCCAGAATCTCCTTTTTTCCTTTGTCAGTGCTACTTTTTTTTTCAGACAGGGTCTTAGGCTGCCCACAAGGCTTATAATTTATGAACATAGTAACCCTTAAGAAAGAGAACTCCTCTTTGCTAAGTTCCAGGATTGAGCATCATGATTCAGCTAAGTTCATATGCACAGTCTTGGGCCAATCACAGTTCCCTTCTGCACCACCACCTCCTAGAGGAGATGGACAACCATCAAAGGAAGGAACTCCCAACTAGGGCTGTGAGAAAAGCATTCTGGTGGGTGTATGAAGGCTGGATTGATGGCAATGCGAGACCCAAGAGGGAAGTATGTGAAATGGCATTTGAACTCCAAGGTAAAGACTTTATTTTCCCCTTTGCTAGAAAGATTGGCCAAAGCAAAGGAGCAGAAAGCATTCTAGGAGACCTAAAATGAAAGACCATAGGCAGCATGATAGTTAATCTTGGTGGTCAACTTGACTGGATTGAGAACTTCTACCTTGTCTGTGAGGATGCTTCCAAAGATGACTTGCATATGGCTTAGGAAACTGAGTGGGGAATATCTGCCATGAATGTGAGTGGCACACTCCAATATGCTGCAGTACTGATGAAAGAAAAAGCAAGGGAGCGGAAACCTGCACCTGTGTTCTGAACTCTGCTGGACCAGGTACACTTTTTGCGGCTGCAGGGAGCCATTGATACCAGACTCCAGATTCCTCAGCCTGTGAACACAGTCTTGCACCAGCAAATCTCAGGGCCTTTAGCCTTTGACTGGAGCTACACCTTTGGTGCTTCTTATTCGGAGGCTTTCAGCTTCTGGAACTGAACAGCTACTGGTTTTCCTAGCTCTCTGGCCTACAGACTGCCATTGTGGGGTAATTCAGCTTCAGATCATGTAAGCTTATCTAGTAAAGCCCATGTTAGAGTTATATATACATTCTATTAGCTCTGTTCCTCTGGAGACCCCTGAATAGTACAGGTAGGCTTTGTACAGGACTGATCCTCAGGTTCAAGAGGCAGTGAGGAAGTCATTGGGTTGACAACAGAACAAGAGTTAAGAAACTTGAATTATTTCCTAGCTCTGCCATTAACCCTTCACATGACCTTGGGCAAATTATTTAACCTTTCTGAACCTCAGTTTCCTCATTTCTAAAATAAGCCAACAGGGCTGCATGGTCACTGACTTACTTTTTCTTTCTGACATCCTGCACTGGTCTTTCTGACCTAAGAATAACTGGTTCTTCCTCTGTAATATCTCTGGAATTCACTTCTCTGTACCTAATGGCCTAGGTCTTCATGGAGTCTATGACCTTTCCACTTACCAGCTGTGGGATCTTGGGCACATCACCTAATCCTTCTTTGCCTCACATTCCTTATCTGTAAAATGGGGATAATAGCAGTCCCAACCTCTGGGATGGTTATGAGGATTAAATTAAATGAATATATATAAAGTACTTAGGAAAATGTGAGCCAAACTATAAAGGCAATGTGACTTAGCTATTATCAAAATTATTTGCTGTGTTGTTTCCTGACTTTTAGGTTGAAGGACTGCTACTGTCAGGACATAGAAAGATGGACAGAGTTTGACAGATATATCCCCTCAGTTATGCATACAATTTAGCAATGGTCACAATGACAGTCTTCTCTGGGCTTGAAGAAGCAATTCAGTACATTACAGGTATGGTGGCTATAGTTTCAGAACCCCAAAATAGACTGTAGTGTTTCATAAGTCTGATTACACTTGTCAGGCAAGTGGGAAAGATCATTTGAGACAAAAAATATCCTATGTTCTTGCCATAATTATGAATAAATTTAATTGGAATCCACAGTCCCCTCCCTTCAGAAAACATTTTAACGCCCCATGAAAAACACTACTTGCCTTAGACACGACCAGGCCTTGCTGTACTCTCGCCCCCTGACTCCTTGAGCACTGGTTTTTGTATGTTGCAGGGAGAGAACAGCACTTAGGAACACAACACACACACACACACACACACACACACACACTCCTTTTTTCTCCAAAGTTTCCAACACTTCCTCCGGTATATTTCAAATGAGTCATTTTCCAAAATCTCCCTTGTCAGTATCGCCACTTTAATGCCAACTTCCTCTGTGCAGAAAATAAAAATAAAATGAGAAGACATGAAATTGATGAGTCCTGCTAGCTCATAGAAACAGCATCATTTACTACAGTTACTGGGAATAGGTATCACGATACACCTGGGTTCTTAGTGGGCCCCCACTGAGTCTTCTTCAGCTCAGTTCAGAGGAAGAGTGACCTGTCTTGGTTCTGAACGCTGAGCACCTGTGTCAGAACAGCAGTTCACATCTTTGTTTCTGTTTCCTAAGGGTTTAATTTCTATTCCTATATGCTGCCTGTTTCTCACAACAATCCTGTGGATAGATACTATTATTGTCATTTTATAGGCAAAGTAAACTGAGGCTCAGAAAAAGAAAGCAATCTGACCAAAGACAAAACAAGTTCATCTTTCAGTGAGAGCAAAAACCTGTCTCCTATGACTTCTTCCTCAATGATTTTTTCCCAAGAATGACAAATATAATTTTTCTCATATGCCATTTCTGGCTTATTGTTGTATGTCTAACCAGAGATCTAGCAATGAAAGAGATTCTAAGGTCATGCTTAGGGTTATGATTGATCATCAATGTCTGACATAGTATGGGATAAAAATGTATTAATATATACACTAGGTATCTGTTAATTCTATGCTATATTGTGATATCTAAGCTCTTTAAACATATCCATATATTTTGACAATCCATATAGAGCATACTGTCACAGAAGCAACTCTCTTAGTTGCACATAAGCTAAATATTCTTAAGCCACAAAAGAAGAATTTATTATAAGAACACAGAAGTATCTCTTGGAACCCAATAAGAGCAAATGTTGACATTCCTTTCTGTGTATTGGAACCAAGAATTGAAATGTCAGCAGGAACCCAAGCAGGCTCGTCCTGTCATTTTCTTCATCACTGCCTGAGTCTCCCTCTTTAACCTTTCTACTCACTCTTCTACTCCCACCAAGTCCTTCTCTGTCTGCCTATCCATCTCTTCCTTTCCCCTTTTTACTCCCTCTGGTGCTGCATAGTCATTTCTCTCTGCATCTCTTTGACGGTTTGATTCATCCATCTTCCTCTGTGAATCAGCGTTCTTTTTCCAAGTACATGTGATGAGCTAGGGAGAAGCACCTTCCAACAGAAAGAACAATGCAAGCCATAAATGCAGTTTAAAATTTTCTATCTGGTAGCCATATTTTAAAGACACACGAAAAGGCAAAATTAATCTTTAAAATATATTTTATCAGCATATATAAAATATCATTTAACATACAATTCAATATAAAAAGTTTTAACGAAATATTCTGAATTTTTTTTTCATACTGTCTTTGAAATTCAATGTGTAGTTTATACTTATAACATATTCCAAATTGGACAGTTCACATTTTAAAAATCAGTGTTTAGTGGCTACTAAATGGAACAGCATAGAGCTAGAGTTCACGTCTTTGACTCTACCAGCCAGCAGAGATAGGCTAACATCTTTGAATTTCATCATCTGCATTTCAAGCTTTCCAGACATAAAATCTCATTGGCTCTAGTCAAGTCACATGTCCACATCTAGTCCAATCAATTTTGGCCAGGAAGACAAAGCTCACATTCCATAAATATGGTAACCAAAGAGAAGGGCATTTTTCTGAGAAGAGGTTGCAAAATTTGCCTGTGCCTAAAAGGCATATAGTGCAATGTTTAGAAAAGATTTATTAGGAAGAGCTATGTAGTATCACCTGAATTCTCTGGAAGGTTCCAGAAGTGCTCAATAAACTTGCATTTGGGGGACAGAGAAAGACAGAGAAACTCCAGAAGGCAAAAACAAGCCAAGAATAGTGTACTGCCACCTGCAGGAAGCATGCTTCTCTAATTCAAGTACCCAGAGTTGCACAGAGAGAAGACACCATGCAAGATAAAATCAATGTTTGATCAGAAGTCTGAAGTGGAGGCTGGGAAGCAGCATTATTATGATCACTTCCTCAAGTTCAGGACTCATCTTCAAAAATCTCCCCTTTATACAGATGCCTCCCAATTACACAAACAGTTTTTGTGGGAACATTCAGTAATCTCTAGTTTTGTTTATGGAAGCTCTTCAATATGAAGAAAGGCTTAAGACCTAAATGAGAGAGGAGAAAACAGCTGTTCTCTCTCTCGTCAGGATGTTGGGCCTCTCAAACAGCACTATGTCCCTTACTTAGTCTGCCTTAACCATTTTATGAGGTGATTGTTTCAACCTTCCATCACAGCTTCTTACAAAACATCCCAGTTGGTGGGTAATGACAGTGACACAGAAACATGGCTATTCTGAGCAAAGCAAATGCTGTGTGAACAGAAGTGGAAAAGCAAGAAGGTAAGAATCCTGGAGCCAGTGTCTTTGGCTTAGCCCAAAATACAGGATGAGTATTGCTCAAAGCATGGTCCAACAGGACATTAGAAGATAGACTTTTAGAGAAAGGGAAAGGGGTCAGGAAGAGGGGAAGAGAAGGGGAGAGATAGCTAATAGGGATTAAAATAAACAAAATATGTTGTATGTATGTAGCACTATATCAAAATGAATCTCATTATTCTGTTACTAATATGCATTAATTTTTTTAAAAGGTATACTCCTTGGCTTTCTACTATTTTAATACCCTCTAAGGCTTCACTCTGCTCTTAAGATAAAATCCCACCTCCTCATCATGATGCAAATGATATGACTGGGCCCAGTCCTACCTCTCTGACCTCATCTTGCAGCTCACTTCTTCCCAATACTAGTCTCCTTTCTTTTCCTTGGTCAAGGCAATATTGCCATGCCTGGCTTGTAAACAGACTATCTTTCCCTCTTATTCTCAGCCTAATAGGTCTGTCCTGCTCAAAACTATGAGGCAAAGCAGAGGGAATTTAAGGCTCCTCCAGCTTGGTGGCTCAGTCTGTCTTTCCTGGGACTACTCATCACACAAAAATATATTAGAGGGGTGAGATGATGAGCTCAGTAAGACCAAAAATAATGTGGATTTTCCTTACTGTTTATCCCTGATGCTAAGCAGAAAATGTGCCACAAAGAAAGCCCACAATAAATATTTTTAAATCCAATCAGTAAATGAATGAACACTGATGTGAGTATTGGGCAAGGCGCTAGACACCAAATATACATAAAACTACAAGTTGCTTAAAGTCAACAGGGAAGACAAAAGTAAAAACTTAGAATATAAGCTATATGTACAAGGTGCTATTGTAGTGAAGGTAAAATCTGAGCTATGTGATGCTTTATTTCTTCTGCATTCCCTGGATAAGTGTGATAACACTTCACATCAAAAGTAGTTTATTCTTCTGGAGATGTAGTACAGAATAATTTGTTGTTTGGTGCCACGTTTTTCGTACTGTTTTAGTCTGTTGTCTGTTGCTATAGCAAATTACCTGAGACTTAATAATTTATAATAAAAAGAAGTTTAAGTGAACTCATGGTCTGGAAGTTCAAGAATATGCCTCTGATTCTCTTAAGTGAAATAAACGGGACACACATGTAAATACTGAATAGTTTCTCTGGTGTGAGAAACTGAAAATGTAAATAAGGACTAAAAGGTATAATAGGTAATGTGAAATAGGAAGAAAAGGGGCAAAGGGGAAAGGGATGTGGGAGGGTAGGGGAAAGGAAAGAAGGGAATGGGATTAATAGGAGACAATGAAAAAATGGAAACAAAGTCTTTGTAAATAGGGAGGGATGGAGGGGTTGAAGGGAGGGCAGGGGAAGGGGGAGAAAATAAGAACCAAGAGAGATTATGTGAAGGTGCAAATTTCCAATGAATGTCATTCTATTGTATACCTAAAATGTACCAATAAAATAAAATTTAAAAAAAAAAGAATATGCCTCTGTCCTCTGCTCAGCTTCTGGTGAGTCTTATGCTGCTTTCACATGGTATAAAAACAGAAGGGAAAGTCAGTTTGTGCAAAGAGAGAAAAAAGTGATAGCTAACCTATTGCTATAAGAAAAATATTAATCCATTCGTGGATGTGGACTCCTCATGACCGGAACACTTCCCACTAGGCTGCACCTCTCAACATGGGAGACTAAACTTAACCATATTGAAACCATAGCACTTACCAACTGCAAAATCCACCAAAGCTCTGTAGGCTTCCTTTTTCTCCTCTTATACCAACTTCATGAGAGTACTTTTTTGTCTTGAGAAATAGATAATACATGTGAAAAGTTTAGCCTAGTACCTGAGACATAGTAAGGACTCAAAATACATTAGCTATTGATATCATGTGGTTTAATATTCTCTAAACTCTGTATCTAGCCCCTCTTTCATGTACACTGAAAAAATGCATTTTTATGAATTTATTTTACCAGTAGTTAATATAAAAGAGACTATCAATCCCAGCCTCTGCTCAAGTTAATACAAATCCCGGGACAGTGAAGTCTGAAATAAATTGGCTTTCTTCTCTTTGTGACATTGTAATTTAGAATGTAAGTCTTTTCTCCCTTGATGGGAGAGGAATCTCACTGTTACATCACAGAGAGCGGTATCCCCATGCCTGCAGAAGCATTTGCAAAGAAAAAAAAATCTGTTATAATGAAATCACATGGGCAAAATGAAGATCTTTTGTTATGTGAAGCTTTGACCTCAGGGAAAAAGAAATATTAAATAGATAGGTTATTGTTTATGCCTGGGAGAGGTTTTGAGTCTTATGAAATGTTGGGCAGTGGTATCTGTTAATAACTCTCCATTAGCTGGTAAATTCTTAGCCTTTGTGGTTACAGAAACTACCCACATGCCCTGGCTTGCTGGGGACAGTCCTAGTTATGCTGATCATTGCTATTTATTAATAATAGCACTCCTCAAATTGCTCCAGTTTAGGTGACAAACACATAGTCTACTCTTGGCTTGTCATGTTTCCCCATCAAAGAATCTGTGCTGGTCAGCTTTCTGTTATATAACAAATACCTGAGCTAACCAACCTATAAAGAGAAAAGGCCTATTTTTGGCTCACAATTCTAAAGGTCTCAGTCCTGGGTTGGTTGTCCCCATTACTTTTTGGCCTGTGGTGAGGCAGCACATCACGGCAGGAGTGCGTGGGAAGTAGAAAGCCACTTACTTCATGAGGAAACTTGAAGGAGAGAGGAAGAAAAAGGCGGTGGGTCCCAGTATTTCCTTTGAGGGAAGGCTTCCCATGACCTCAGACCTTCCAGTAAGCCCTACCTTTAAAAGTTTCCACCATCTCTTTATAGGGCCAACTTGGGATGGTGCCTTTAACACGTGAGCTGCCAGGGAACATTTAAGATCCAGACTGTAGCAGAACCCAAAACCCAACCTGTAGTAAAAGTTTTTAAATTGATACTTGGGGATCCCCTGCTATGTGCTGAAATGTGTTAAATACCCAGCATGAATTATTTCATTCATTCTGCACCAACAGGCTGCAAGACTTCTGGAAGGCATGCCATAGAAGAGATCTCAGTATACTACTTGGACCATATTCAGCATAAAAATTACTGTACATGCTAAGGGAAATTTGAAAACCTGAATGCATTTTGAAATGAAAATAGCTCCTTGGTGGCTATGTCATTACAGAAGCTGGAAATTATTCATCAAAGCTGAACTTTTCACATTTTATTCTTTCTTGCTGGTGGTATAAGCACATACTTTTCTGACTGTGCTCACAAATCTAGAACTGTTCCTCTGTCCATTTTACAGATAAGACACTGGAGCTTTGAAGCAATCAGCCTATTGTCACCTTTATTTCCTAGGTTTTATTTCTACAGTGGAAGTACATTTTTAGTATAGAATTTGTCTACTGAGCCATTTTTATTATATCACTGATGTACCTCGCGCCCAATATTCTCTTTAGGCTCCTAAAAAGCTGACCGTCAGACCTGGTCCTTAACCACTGTTCCACACTACACTTGACTGAGTTGTTATTCAATGTCATTATAAATGCAGAGGCAAATTATTGGCAATTTGGCCAGCTGTGCATGGGAGTCCAATGAATAGAAGAATCTTCATCCCTGTAGTTTGCAGCCTTTCACCTTCTTTCTACTATTCTGCATAATGGTCAGGTTGGGAACTGGGGGTTGGGGACATCAGGGAGAAGGTACAGCACTGAAAGAGTAAAGAACAGGGACTAGGAAAACCAAGGGATGGTGTAAAGGTCCCCAAAGTAAGTTCTTGGATCTCACATTTTTCAGGAAACAGACATTGCAAATTCTTTTTTTT